TGTTGCTTATGAATGCGACATGGGGATATTGCCAGTTAAGAACCGTCAGAGAGGTAGACAGAGTAAAGCATTAGTGAGAAGGTCGACAAACTTATTCGTTGAAAGGTTTCTGCCTTCTCCTTTTGTTTTGAAGTACGAATTCACTCAAGGTCAAAGTGGCTTAGTAACCACATTAAAACCTATTGTCGAACATTGGTCTTACCCTCAGTTCGCAAAGGCAGTCCTTGACAACTACAACAAATTCTTCTCCGAAGTCAAATCCAAAGTGAAGGTTTACTATGAGAACATTGACGCACTCATGACGAACGAAGAAGGCTATAACAAACTCATTGAAATGGGAATGGTCAGTGAAAAGATGGGCTGTTTTAAGCTAGATAAGGTATTTTCCGAAGTTCATGTAATATCGAAAAGGAAATATTGGGGCATACTTGAAGACGGCACAGAAATAAAACATTGCATGAAATAAAAAATTTATTTTTAAAAAAGTGACATTTTTTTAAATTTTATTTGAAATGTACGCTGAGTTTGTTGGAGAAGACCGTTGGGAAACTTGTTTGTTAGATGAGAAATATGAAATGGCATACCATTTTAAAACAATATATTTTTACATATATTAAATGCTTCAGGTTGAAAAACAAAGAAACAAAAGTAGCAGATACAAAACCGTTAGACTATATCTTTACAAATGCTGGTAGGACTATTTCAGATGAAGAAATTTCATCCCGAGCATACAGGTTTGACTATCCAATTCGTTGGCTTCAAAGTCCTTCAGATGCAAAGGCAATCGGATTTAGAAGAGTTTTGTTTTCAAATAAAACTAACTCATTTATGTTCGCAGTATATTTTTCTCGTAAACGAAAAGGGGGATTTGACGGAGTCAAATCCCCGCTCGCAAAAAGTGGACTTTACATGTCAAATTTTATATGCATGTAATGTCCACTTTTATGAGTTTTAGGAAGGAATTGGAAGCCATGAGTTACTGACATTGCATCAGTATCTCATAGCCTCCAATTCCTTCTTAAAATGGGAGAAACTTTGTCCGAATAGTTTAACATTCGGACAAAGTTTCTCCCATTTTAAGAAGGAATTGGAGGGTAAGAGATATACCATATGAATGTATATCTCTTACCCTCCAATTCCTTCTAGAAAGTGTCCAAACTTTGGGTTAATTGCAAACTATTAACCCAAAGTTTGGACACTTTCAAGTGGAGATGGAAGGCTTTGGGGTATATATTAATACAATATACCTCAAAGCCTTCCATCTCCACTACAAATGGGAGAAACTTTGTCCGAATAGTTTAACATTCGGACAAAGTTTCTCCCATCTTTCAATGTAATTGCTACCTGTGAGGTACTGACTTGAAGTCAGTGCTTCACAGGTAGCAATATCCAAAAATTTAAAAACATTTTATCAGTTCGTTAAAGAACTAGAGCCTCCTAGGTACTGAACCAGAATCAGTGCCTAGGGGACTCTAGTGATCTATATAAATCTGAGAAACTTTGAGGAAATTGTTCGACATTTCCTCAAAGTTTCTCAGCAATTTAGCGAGGAATGTTCGTTATCGTGTAGATATTTATAATATATACATGATAACAAACATTCCCCGCTAAAAGATGTAAAATCTTATAAGAAATAATTGCAAAAGAATAACAAATTGCAACAAATTTTATATGAAACTGAACCTTATGAGGTAGTGATTCAAGATCACCGCCTCATAAGATTCAGTTTCAATCTCAAGTATCTCAAAAGTAAGGCTCTATTTTTTGCCATGTAAAGTGTCACTTTACTGTCAAACCGTTTTTATCGTTTTCGTTTACAACATTTTCATGGGCAGTATGAAGGTTCTGATGGTCTAATAGACAAATTTGACAAAATGAGAATCTTTACAGTTCGTTCAGACGAAAGTCTTGAGAAAACTCTAGATGACTTTCAAACTCAAATGAACAAATATTATTGGGAATTTCAAAAAAATACGACTCTTTACTAAATGGAACATACTATCTGAAACTAGAATATGACAAGATGAACTCCACCGTTTCATTTCAAAAGATTGAAATTAACCCTCCATGAGATACAGAGTTTTTATTTTGGGAAGTAGACAAACGTTCTTGGGCACAATTTCTTCGGTTACTAAACCAGAACGAACCATTACCACCAGATGGTCCATTTAAATTTATACTTCCACCAGCAGATTTGATGGTTTATAGAAACGTGTTTGACCCTCAAAATGTTATGTGTCATGCAAGTTTCAGTTCAAGCAACAATAGTTTTCTATGTATTGGTAAGGACTTTTATGACTTTGCTTCTAAATTCTACGAACCACCTAGTAACAGTTTCTCTGACTTTCAAGTTTGGTTCACAACAAATGGTGTGCAACATATTACTCCATTGTACTATGACTTTTATCTCGAATTGTCTTTCATATATAACTACGGAAAAGTGCTGAAAAAGTATTGAATGTGAAGATATTAGAAAATAACATTTTTTCTAACATCGTAGAAAACTCATGAAAACAATTTATTTTTGACACTTTCACAAAAAACATAAAAAAGTGAAGTTAAAATGAGATGTTTACTGAACTGGTTGGATGCCGCCTTCTGAGGTTATGTAGAACGGCTGACCCGAGAAGTGGAACAGTGCTCTGAGAATTTGTATAATTCGTGGAATTGGACTCTCTCTGTTTGGAAGTTGTATCCATGGGCGCTTTGCAAAGAACTTGAGAAGAGCTTCTTTCTTCATCTCCTTTATGTCGTCTACAGGAGTGTTTTCTGGTATTTGAATTGGAATTCCGGTTTCAATTTCGATTTTCAGCGCACCTCTTCCAGACAACCAGAAGCCGAGGGACTTGTTGGCTTTGTCCTTGCCCAAGTACTGCTTAACAACTTCATTTATCTCTATAAGGTAAATTGCCTCATCTAATGGCTCGATGTTGTCCATTGTTCTGTTTCAGAACTAGTCTTGTACTTTTTCAGAACAATACTTGTACTGTTTCAGAACTAGTCTTGTACTTTTTCAGAACAATACTTGTACTGTTTCAGAACAATACTTGTACTTTTTCAGAACAAGACTTGAACTTTTTCAGAACAAATTTCCCGTAAAAGCTCTCAATTTGTGAGAAAAATTTTCTGTTTCAGAACAATACTTGTACTGTTTCAGAACAATACTTGTACTGTTTCAGAACAATACTTGTACTGCTTCAGAACAATACTTGTACTGTTTCAAGACAATACTTGTACTGTTTCAAGACAATACTTGTACTGTTTCAGAACAATACTTGCACTGTTTCAGAACAATACTTGCACTGTTTCAGAACAATATTTGTACTGTTTCATGACAATGTCCGACGTCCCACCAACCGAGTCCATTCCCAAACCAGAGGAACCTAAAGCACCAGCCCCTGCACCTCAGTTCCAGCAAGTACCTCCGAATTACTACCAATTTCCACCTCAAGGTTACTACCCACCACAAGGCTTCCCGAACTACCCTCCTCAGCCTATGCCTTACCTCCCCAACCCTTGGATGTTCCAGCAAGCTCCACCCCAGCAATTCCAATCTCAGTCCAAGAGAGACCTAGACTTCGAAGAAGGTCTGAACCGCTTACGCAAAGAGTATGCTAAAGCTCCAATTGAGAGAAAGTTGTTCCCGGACCAAAAAATATAATTTAGGTGAAGAGGTGAGATTTCACCTCTTTTTTCACCTGTTTTTTCACCCTCTTGAATTTTCATGAATTTTATATATTAATGTTTTCGTTAAGCCACTTTGTGCCGTCAGTCAGTCAGTCAGTCAGTTTAGGAAAGACTTTAGAAAGTTGTTGGAAAATAAGTCCTGGGAAGAGTATTATAAGGCATTTTGTGAAGAATATAGCAACCGCCGGAATTCAGACGGTTGCTTTTTATACAAAATTCATGCAGGAAATTCTTGAGTTTTGGTTGAAAGAATACGGTGGAGCCAAAAGTGGCTCGACCTCAAAACAAGCATTTTATGAGCTTACAAAGGGTGTTATGAATGAATTCAAATGTATTTACATACATCCTGACCTCGTTCATTTTGTTGCTGAATTCAGCAAAAATATAATTTAGGTGAAGAGGTGAGATTTCACCTCTTTTTTCACCTGTTTTTTCACCCTCTTGAATTTTCATGAATTTTCCCGAAATAAAAAATAAAGTTAGTTTTATTTTTATTTATTTTTTTATTTTGTATAAAAGAACAGAAATGTCAACAATCGGCACAACAACAATTCAAACAACAGCACCAAACTCGTTAGTCATGAATCCAACATCTATGTTAGTAGAAATGAAAAGCTTCATTCCTTCTTCATATACTTTCGAAACAGAAATCCAGAAGATAAAGCAGGAACTTTTAACAAGTAATTTAGACTGTACCGCACAGGATGAAACAAATGAAGAATATCTTTATGACATGCAGGACCTCATCGACCATTTGCCTAAACTACCTGAAATTCAGCAGCAAAAACTAACTATTCCTGAATTCGACGAAATTGAAGTGAAACCAACTGACTCAGTAGAAATAAAGAAGTTCATACGAAAGGTAAATTATGAATTCCTTGGTTTTCATTGCAACCATAAAGTTATGGACAAAGATTGCGACATGGTATATAAGAACATCTCTGACATATATAAATCTGGGGAGTTTAAGACATACGACAACTTTGTTTCATTAGCTGCAAAATGTGTATGGCAGATAAGAGATAAAGATAGAAGAGGTAAAGTATGGAATGAACAGATAAAACCAACTGCTTCAGATTTAAAGAAAACCATTGACGCCTTGGTTGTTTTAGCAGGTAAGGTTTCAGAATATAACGCAAAAATGAACCCGCAATGTTCTAAATGTAAAGCAGCAATGAGGAAATATAACTACTCCGTCAAAGAGATAGAAAGAATGAGAAACGACTATGCAGACTTAAAGAAAGAAGCAGAGAAGCCGGTAGAAAATAAAATGGACATGTTAGAATTTCTGAACAAAAACTATCCAACTGCTGACGATTTCCTTCTATCTGACGTCAAGAAGAAGTATAAAGAAACTTTCGGCATTGTTAAAACATTCGATGTACTAAAAGAAGAAATAGAAGCTACAAAACTGTTTAGAGTCTCAAATATACATCGTACAATTCATGTAAAACGCTTATAAAATAACTGAGGTGAAAAATGAGGTGAAAAAACAGGTGAAATCTCACCTCTTCACCTAAAATATATTTTTGCTGAATTCAGCAACAAAATTCTGAGTAAAATGACATAGGGCATGTGTCAAACCGTTGAGTTTTCACAAAATTTAAAAAATAACGTTTACCATGTAAAACGCTTATAAAATAACTGGGGTGAAAAATTAGGTGAAAAAACATGTGAAATCTCACCTCTTCACCTAAACATTATTTTTGCTGAAAAATGACCAAATTTCATGAATTTCCTCATATGCTTGCTTCCCTCGGAAAACCGAGAGAAGAGATTCCGTATGAAAATCGTGAAAAATTGCCAAACGGTTTGAGAGGATATTATGTACATAGACTTCTTGTAAATGCTGTAGCAATGTGGGCTTCACCTAAAATATATTTTTATTGAAAAATGACCAAATTTCATGAATTTCCTTAAGATAGAAAAAATAAAGTTAGTTTTATTTTTATTTATTTTTTTATTTTGTATGTAAAGACAGATATGTCAAACATTGAGTTTGAAACAGTTAGAAAGATAGACAATGACACCAAAGTGGTTAGAATAGGTGATTTAAACGTAAGATACTCAAAGAAATACAACAAATATTCTTTGTCAGACATTATATCTCCATCTGGAAAGAAAACAAAGGACTGGGTTAGAATTGCTTCTAGTCAGAAAATTTTGACAAGAAATCCTGAGCTTATGATATCGGTAAGATTCTATGGAACTGCAGCATATCTCATCGACAAAAGTCTTATACCAATAGTTTTGTTATGGTTAGACCCAGTTGTTGGATATAACTTCATAACATATGGTTCATTCGATACGGAACGTTGCAGTGAAGGCTTACTTTACATCGTTCAGAAACCGAAGGACTTCAATACAAAGAGATATAAGATAGGAAGAACATATAATATAACTCAAAGATATGACAGTACAGTCAATAGAGTCAAGGTTGTGTTTGTTAATGATATGAGAGCTGCAGAAACAGAACTACTTGAAAAGTTTGAGAAAATGTATGGTGCTCCCATAAAAGGTAAAGAAACGTTTGAAGTAGATGAGATAGATAAAGCTATAAAATTATTTGACGAAGTTGCTGAAAAATACATGTAAAGCGTTTATTTTTGGTCTTTTGTGAAAGTCAGAAAATAACGCTAATTTTTTTCTAACAAATTTTTTTATTTTGTATGTAAAGACAGATATGTCAACAACAGAGAACACAACAACAGTTATAGTCCATGAAGCTATAAATGAAGAATACGAGTACATACAGTTTAACAAACAACTCCGTCTCATTCGTTCGGTCAAAGACGATATGTACCAAATGCAAAGTATTTTGACAGCATGTTTTGCTCCAGATACTAAGAAACCACAAGACTGGTTTAGGAACCAAAGCACTATTGAACTATTAAATGAAGCTGAAAATTCGACTACGGATTTTTTCGTAGTCGCAAAAACTCGAGTAAGTAAAAAACCCCAGTCGCCAAAACTCTATGAAAACAGTGAAGAACAGCGAGTAAGTAAAAAACCCCAGTCGCCAAAACTCTATGAAAATCGTGAAAAATTGCCAAACGGTTTGAGAGGATATTATGTACATAGACTTCTTGTAAATGCTGTTGCAATGTGGGCTTCGCCTCGTTATGCTTGGTATATTTACAGACTTCTTGACGAAATTCATAGACAAGAACGTGAAGAGATGGAAAACAAGCTTGAAGCAAAAGACAAAAGCATTCAGAAAAGAATACCACGTTCGGTACCAAAAGGTAAGGAAAAGAACTATAAGTATATGATTTATACTGAAGAGATGGAAAATGAAGAAGATAAAGATATGGTTATGTTGCATTTAGTCAGAAGAAACAACAAAAGCTTTTACGACCTTGCTAAGATTTACAAATCCGACAGAAATTGGTTCTATCGCGAAAACTTACCGATTTCAATGACCCCAAATGAAGATGTGAAACAAATAGTTCAAGATACGTTACCTCAAACACACTATGATATGAAAGGTTGTACAATACTTACCTTCAAAGAAGACTTACCGCTACTGAAGGAAAAAATAACAGAGTATTTTGACAACTTCAAACAAGCAGAGTAAATGAACTCTTTATTTTTCAAGCTTGACTTTTTACAATTTGAACTTTGTTTGCGTAGATATGAATTCTGAAAGAAGTATGAGGGTCTTGTATGACTTTATACTTCTCCCATAGTTCATGTCTGTCAAACTTACCTGCCATGGACTCTTTCATAAGTTCCATGAAATCGTCTTCGGACAATCCAGGGAAAAGTATAATGTCAGTAAGTATTCTCTTTACATCCTTACTTAAACTCTTTGCTGTCTGTACACAAATGACAACTGAGATGTTAAAGTGTCTGAGCTTCTTAAGAATTCGACACATGTCTTGTTCTCTGTTCTTTAACAAAGGATGAGAAGCAAAGTCATCTAAGATAAGAAGACACCTATGAGGGTAAGTCTTCCAATCGTAAGATTGCAATTTCTTCGAAATGTATTCTATCTCTTTCTGTTTGTTTCTGAAGTGTTTCTTCTCTAATATTCTCTGCATTTCCTCATTTGGGTCTTTAAACTTAGAATTTATATACTCATTTATAGCATTATACATCAAAACTCTTCTTTGGTACTTCTTTATCCAATCTAACAACTCAGTATCCTTTATACATACTAACTTAGACTTCTTTATAATATCTTTGAACGAATTGACGGTTTGGTCAAATTGACCAGAAGTACTACAAATGACAACTAACTCATAGAATGGGTTCTTCTCATCTAGTTCTTGTTGTTGTGCAGCCATTTTAAGATAAGTGAAAGTCTTACCCGACCCAGGTGGTGCAATTAGACCTGTTATACCATTCTGAGCAAATAAGAACTTGTCATGTATAGGCTTTATCTGAGCATTTTCTAACTTCCTCTTGTTCTTATTTAAAACATTCTCAAATTTCTTGTCAATGTCAGCAAACTTTTTTTCTAACATATTTTTAGAAAAATTAAAATTTTTATCTTTTAGAAAATGTCTAGCGAGTTCGCTATCTATATTCGAGACAAGCTTTTTGACAGCAAAACATCTGTCGACCATAAAATCTTACATAGTGTAAACAAGAAAGGGGAATTTGTTCTAAAGTTCTGTTTCTGGGAATATGACAAGAACCATAAAACATTAAGCAGAGCAGTCTTAAAATTTGTCAATGACAGACTTGTTGACAGAGATGACACCGATTGGAGAGATGAAGTCCAACAAAAGTTCTTAGAATGCAAAGAAGACACATGCGCTGTTCTTGAAGATGAAATAGAAAACAGAATAGATGAGCTATTAAAGGACAAAGAACTTTTACATAAATATGGTTGCGCCAAATTTGACATAACTCCACCAGAAAAGAAGAAGAGAGAAAAGAAAGAAAAGAAAGTAGAAGAAGAGAAGAAAGAACCTGAACCAGTTCCAGAGAAAAAGAAATTTGACATGTAAAAATAAAATTTTATTT